GAAATTTCATCCGAAAATAGAGTTCAAGAGCGAGAGAAGACTTATTCCAAGTCGTGGAGAGGCCGCGAATCATGACATTGAAAGCGTACTCGGTGGGCTCGAGAATCCTGGAGAAGAAATCCGACGCGTAGGCGAAGTCCTTGAGGTCGGCGATCTTGAAGAGAAACGAATTGGGTTTGTGAATTGAGTTGGTGATCATCTGGGTGTGGATTTGCTTCAGCTGTCTGAGGCTTAGACATTGTTGTAGCAAGAAAGCTAGAAGCTTTTCGGAGAGAGCTCGGCGATTGGGATTTGGGTTCGTTTTCTCCAAATTGAGATAGCGGGAAATGAGATGTGGAGAAGCTTTTATTCTCAGCATTCCTTTTGAGGTTTAATTCTGAAAATTTTGAATCATATAAACTGAAATTTTGGCTCTTGGATTTTTGGGCCTTAACTATTTGAGGCCCAATTGTGATCTTTAAAGATAAGGCCCAATTTTTCACATTTCCTTGGAAGCGTTTATTATAAATATGAAGTTTTGTGAGGGGTTTTGTATGAATTTGTGGTTAGTTTGAAGAATATGTGATACTTTGTAAAATATTTATCGCTAGCATGAATATAGTTCAATGGTAAATGGTATTTATTCATTGTCTTGAGGTCGAAGGTTTAAATTCTCGAACGTCACAGTTGTTGTACTAAAAAAGCAATATTTCATGAAATAGTATATAGTATTGAAATCATATGTGAATTATAGACGATCTAAATATAGTTCAACGAGTTAAGTTCGAACCCTCACTTTTATATTTTATACTAAAAACACACACGTACTTTTCAGTTTAATTTTATATATATATATTTTTTTTTTTGATGGTAATATTTAAATTTAAAGTCCAAAATCTCTCTCGTTTTTCAAACAGTTTTCTTAGATTCAAATTCAAAATTTAAGTGTAGACACGTGGATAAAGTTTTTCAAATTAAAACCTTCTAAATTTTCAAATTGATTTTCAATTTCAATTAGTTCATTGACTTCTTAGTATGTTAATTGATTTCTTAAATTTATTTTTTTTCTGAAAATTGGTCAAATAAATTTTCAATATTTCGCTTACCTTATTTTCGAGCGTCATGAAAGTCTACTCTCTAATCTTCAGAAATTCTTCTTCAAAAAACTGAATCTTAGTCATCCGATATCTCTCTTGTAAAACTTTTATAATATTTTGAAGATTATTTTTACAAGAACTTTAGTTTTTTTTTTTTTAGAAAAATATATATTGTAAACTTGAGTGTTAATAATTATTGTAAACATGACCTTCAACTACTTTTCTTTTTTAAATATTTTTCTCAAACTAACCATATATTATTCACACAAACCCCTACAATAAATAAAGTGAACACTAATAAAATGGAAACATATGCTAGGAAACAAATATGTAGACCAGCATATTATTTGATAATGTGACATCACTTTTTTTTTCCTTTCAAAGATTTAAAAGGATAGATTAATAAATAATATCCTAATTGTAAAATATGTGCATATTGCCAAACATTAATTTCCATTTGCTTTAATAAAGTTTTTATTTAATATGAGATATGCATGGCATGAAATCTATCTTATCCTTGTTTTTTTTATCTTTTAATGGATAGGATTTTAGTGCTATCTTCACATTGTCAAACTTTAATGCTATTATTTAATTTTTGTTTAATATTTATATTTATTTTGACTATAATTAAAGACTAAGGAAGGCATGTTGATTAGTCTTTAATATCAGTTATTGCTATAATAGTTTATATTATGTTTCCTAGTTAATTAAAACTATAATAAAATGAATGCATCAAACATGATTAAGCTTAAATGAGTGAATTTTTCAGACTTGTTATTTCTTAATCCCTGGATAAAATATATATTTTCTTAAAAAAAAACCGTTGGATAAAATATAGGGGGAAATAGGAAAAATCACCCTTGAATTTTAATATAGATATTACAATTCCATCTAGGAACCTTCAATGGAACAATTATCACAGCTCAATCGGTTATAGCACCTTATCTCCAACCAGAATGTCGTGAGATGTAAAAAAAATAATAATAATAAATAAAAATCCTCGCTATAACAAAAATTTGATTTTCAATGATAGTTATAGGTAGTGTTTTAATTCAATATAGGTTCATTTCGTAACATTTTCGTTTCTTTATTTATTGTTTCTCATTTCCTCTTTAAATTAAATGTATCTTATATTTATTATGCATTTTATAATTCAATAATCATGTTTTTAATTATGTTTTGGAAAAACTGGAAATTGAAACCTAAACAAGAAAATTTGAACTTTTCTTAAAAATAGGAAATAAGAAACATGAATAGTTACAAAACGCTTATATTTCTAAAAAAAATTAGAAACGATAAATAAGAGATCGACTTGACAGCGGTTATTTATCCAAATATCATCACAAACAAGTTTTTTCAAACATGCTAAATGAAAATAAAAAATTTTAATTAATGGGTTAGAGAGTAAACTTATATTTTAACATATTTTTTCTAAAAATATATAATACTAAAAAGTAAAAATAAAATACATATTTTTTATTTTATGTTCAGGTTGGCCTACCCGTATACGTAATAGATAGTATTGGTTCTATTTGACGTTGTTCACAAATGTTGAAAAGAGGAACAATTTTATTTAACAAAAATAGTTACTCAAATTTTCAAATATGTTTCTATTGAATTTTTATTATAAAAATTGTTATGAAAATTGTTTTCGAACAAAACCCTCAACATATATATATATATATATTACTTTTTTTAATTAAAAAAATTGACGTTTTAAGAAGCATATATTTCATATGCATCATCTATGCTAACAAATCTTTTTCCTTTTCTCCATTTTGACATAATTCGTAGGAGAAAAAGATCAATTTAGATTTAAACAAATGATTAACAGTATAATAATTATAAAACTTGAGAGACCTGATTAAGAACTAAATCAATTTAAGATTCAAATAATTAATGATGACGATAATTTGCCGACCTAATTTATTCTTATTTTAAATTTTGAGTCAACAAATTTCCACCCAAAAAAAAAACATTCTAAACAAAAAATTAAAATCATAAAGAGAGAGAGAGAGAGAGAGAGAGAGGTGGGAGTTTGGTGACCTACCTGGTCCAAACAAAAGGGTCTAACAATTATTAACGTCTATGATTTTTAATGTACATATTTTTTTAAAGAAAATTTAAAAAAGAAAATAAAAAAAACAGATTGTTGATGGATCCAAAGGAGTTAACCAAGCTGGTGACCTACACACTAATGGTTGCATTGGAGTTGTTTTTATCAAACTTGTTCGATCAAAAACAATAAATCTCCGAACATACTCGAAGATTGAATTTTGCAAAAAATGAGTTAGCACTCCGGAACCTGTATCGATATGAGTTAATTCAAATATATCTCAATTCTCAAAGATCACGTACTTTTCTCCTTTAACTTAAAAGTATTTGTAGAGTAACTAGATAACCATGGGTGTTATGAATTCAAATTTATGGTTATCTCCGAGATTTCATGCGAACTGCACTTGAAGGGAGGAATACAGTTATCCATTTGAACGTTAGAGTCAAGTTCGAATACGAACAAACAAGTTCGGCAATTTAACCGTGGAAATCTTCCAATTTGGTTTCTGAACTCCTGCCTTATGAGGTTCGTGCATGTGGTCTTTAGTCGAACTTGTTAATGACGTGTTCCCTAGGTGAATTTTCACTTTAATCAGGTGTGGTGCTAAGCCATATACACTATGGTGAAACTTAAGTTAGATCTTAGTCCAAACTGGGGTCAAGTCGAGCTTTTGATAAAGTTGCGTAGAAATTGTGTGCTTTTGTAGAGAAATGATTTCATCTTTTATAGTGGAGCTTCGAAAAGTGTTACTTCTTGTTTTGGCGCTCCACACCTGACAATTAGTAGATTTTACACTTATGGCATTAGCGTCCCAATGGCGATGTTAAGCTATACTCTTTGTTGGGTTAATCAAAGGTGATTGCACCAATTGCCATCTCATCCTTGGTCGATTCGAGTTAAGGTTCAAACGCTGATTTTTTGATGAAAAAAGTCACATGTTAGGCTCTGATTTTACCCTTAACACATCAAATCTCGACTAAGAAAGTAAACTACAATAGCTCTAATCCACTCTAGAGAGGAGGATGATGGGAGAACTTTGTTAGTTGAACTATAAGCACAAAAGTTACATCACCTCGGATAATGTCAAAGAAACAACAAAACCTTTTTGACATTTCCGTTTCCCTTTAAGGAATTTTTAGAATTGAATTACCACACTTAACTTTGGATCGACCTCTCTCCAAACTATCAAATGAAATAAGAGCCAACAAAAAATTCCACCATTAGAAAATGGACAACTATAACAAAACAATAATGAAATTCCACGTAAAATACCTCTACCATTCCTATCTATAACGTCAAGCGAATATTAGTTATTGAAACGTAGATCCACAAAATTTCAATTCTCTCGAGTTCCCTGCTCCAAAATATATTGGATCGGTCAAATTGCACGAGCTATCCCTGAAGTATAAAAATTGATTCAGAGGGGCATATTCGATATTTAGGAATAAAAGAGGGGCCATTCTTCAATAAGTGCCAAAACCAACGAATCCACGAGGCTACGGGTGGAGGCTCCTCTTT